TACCACTTATATGGTATGTAATACCAAATAAAGACACAAATGAACTTAAACATATTCACAAAACAGAAACAAACTTACTTATGGTTACCAAAGGGGAAGAGTTGGGAGGAAGGATAAATTGAGAGTTTGGGATTGACATATACACAATACTACATTTAAATGGGGGCTCTGTGACAACCAAGAGGGGTGGGATGGGGAGGGAGGGAGGTTCAAGAGAGAGGGGACATATGTATTCCTATGGCAGATTCATGTGGATTTACAGCAGAAACCAACACAAAGTTGTAAAACAATTATCCTTCAGTTAAAAAGAAATAAAATAGAAACAAACAAGGACCTACTAGAGCACAGGGAATTCTTGATCAAAATTCTATAACAATCTAAATGGGAAAAGGATTTGAAAAAGAAAAGATACATGTGTATGTATGTACGTATGTGTGTGTGTATGTATATATATACACATATATAAACTTAATCACTTTTCTGTGTACTTGAAACTAACACAATATTGTTAATCAACTATAATATAGATTTTAATCTGCTAAAAATACCAGGAAATCCACATAACAGTCTGTCTCCTTAATTCTAAGTTCTTATCTCCAATCGTATCTTCTCCCATTTCTCTGCCCTTCCCTTCACCGCACTCAAACTTGCAGACTCATGTCTCACTGTCACCCCACTCCTCCTAGTGGATATTCAGCTCCAGGGATGCCTTCAGTACTGTCCTATTCAACCTCCTTTAAGACAAAGTACAATTCCCCACTTCGTGTTGACTTGGCGGGGAGGTTTGGAGAAGAAAAAGGCAAAAGAGAGATGAGAAAAATCTCCATGATTGGCTCCTCGACAACTGAGAGTATTCATATAACAAGCAATGCTCTGGGGGAGGGGGAAGGTCTTTTTAATTAAGTAGGTTTCCCAGGTGGCTCAGTGGCAAAGAATCTGCCTGCCAATGCAGGAGACGCAGGTTTGATCCCTGGGTCGAGAAGATACCCTGGAGAAGGAAATGGCAACCTGCTCCAGTATTATTGCCTGGGAAATCCCATGGACAGAGGAGCCTGGTGTGGTATATTCCATGGGGTTGCAAAGAGTTGGACAGGACTGAGCACACAATAACAATTATTCCTTAAGATAGTGTCCGTTGCTTTTTTGCTGGACACATTATATCCCAGAAATGCAGTGCTTTTTGTGAGATGGCTAACTCAGTGAAGAAACAGATAAACTTGACTGAAAAACTGGCTTAAGCAAATGTAGGAAGTATTCCCCCTTAGCCCCATTCTGGTCCTTAAACTCAAAAATCACCAAATTTTAAACTTGAGGTTTAAACTTTCTAACACTGGTGGAATGTACTGCCTCTAGTCAACTTTCCAGTACTGGAGGGCCACCAAGAGTCAGAGGGATGCCTGGATCATACCCATGTATAAACTTGAAGACCTCTGCATTAATCAGGGTTCTGGTTCATGGGGAAGGTAATCTAGCATGCTTAAGTAGAAAGTATTTTACTGCAGGGTAATAAGTAGTTATGAAGCTCCAAGCACATGACAAGAATTACATAGAGGAATTCTTGCTGGTGTTGCCAACTCCTTGCTCAACAGCTATGATGTCAAAGACCAGACCAGTAACCATAGAACAAATGCCTTTGTTGCCTTTTCTGCACCTCGCTTCCACACACCCCAAGTCTCAGTCAACAGAATCTGCCTGGCAGAGCCCAGAGCACAAGGAAAGTTCTAGTTGCCAGGGAGTCTTGCAACGGTACTGTTTAAGTGAGTGCCCAGGCTCTACAGGCCAGGAAGATATGCTAGGAGGGGAGTAATGCATGTGTGCATGATAAGTCCCTTGAATAAAATCTGTCTCTGTGACCCCACAGGCTGTAGTGCCAGGCTCCTTTGTCCATGGGGTTCTCCAGGCAAGAATCCTGTAGTGGGTTGCCATGCCTTCCTTCAGGGCATCTTCCCCACCCAGCAGTGATCTAACCCGCATCTCTCAGGCCTCCGGCATTGGCAGGTGGTTCTTTACCACCAGTGCCACGTGGGAAGCCCAAAGCGGAAGTAGAGTGGGTGTCAAATGAGCCAGCCTGCAGCATCTGCTCCACGCACTCACCACACAATGAATAGCTTGCTTCTCTCATGGATAGCAAACTAGATAATGAGGCCCTGTAAAGACTTGATTAAGAGAGTAGGCCCTGGACCGAGACTGCAAAGGCTCAAATCACATGTCAGACAGCACCTATGTGATCTTCAGCAGTCATTTATTTTGTCTACAAAGGGGATACCTGTAATTCTTCACTCTCTTGATTAGTGTAAGGATTAAGAGCATTGAAATGTAAAATGCTTGAAACACTGCCTCTTACATACTAAGTGCTCAATAAATGTTTGTTAAATCTATTTCTATGAAATTGTGACTTTTTAAAATTTATTTAAGCTGACCTAAGATATCTGTGCATCTTTACCAGAAGACAGTTTATATAAATTGCAATTAATGGAACATGATCCCTGTGGAGTATCAATGAAAATTTTGTCACCTTTTTGTAATACTGCTGTTAAAGGATGAAAAGAAATCTGTTATTAACTTGCCTCAAATTAGGAAATTGTCAGAGCCTATGATTGCTGTTCCAGGGAAGGTAATGAAAGCTTCCAGATACCTTTCTTCTTTGAAGGAAAAAAACCCCATCCCAGAATGTTTGAATTCTGAACAGAACTCTCTATTTTCATCCATGACTCCAGATTAGAACTAATGTGGGAAATAACACAACGTTCTTTAATCTTGTTTTGAGTCAATAATTTAAAGACAGTAAAACAGCAACAACAAAAGCTTTTGACCACTCTTAGTATCTTAGATAACTGAAAATCTCCATCTTCATCAGGGCCAGACCATAGGAAAGAGCTGGTCTTGCATTTATCTACAACAGCTTCCCTGCCAGTTCTTGAGCTCCTCTGTTAACTAGAAAACTCTTTTACTCAAAGATTGGAGAATCTGTCTGCCAAATTTAACCCACTGGCCAGGTCCATACCATAGCACTGTATAAAACCTCTCTCCTCCTGCAAAGTATCGCAGTCCCAGGACAGCACTGCCCGGGATGGGCAGCTGTTCAAAGGTTGTGCAGCCTGGCAATATCATTGAGGACACGGGCAGGACACGGGCTCAAGCGTCCGTCTTCCTGACTGTGTGATCAGAGGGAGATGCATGAACCTCCCTGTACCCCTTTGATTCTCTGCAAAATGGGTGGTAATACATATGTCTACCCCACTGGACTGTGAGAACATTAAATAAGATAATGTAACAAGCATGTGTTATTACTGATACCTCCATCACCATCCTCACAGACTCCATATTGGTCTTGCAGTTGGCTAACAGTTTGTTAATGAAAGCATCCTTATGAGATGCAGTTCTGTCTACCTTTAATACATGGATTCATCAGTCTCCTCCATAATGTGATGGTTGGAAGTGTGCACTACTCTCTGCATGTAATTTAACTAATAGAGCTGACAGATGAAATCTTCTTCCTTGCCCATCTGTTTTTGCTCTATGCTTTTATTGATGTCACGTATTATAATAGTATGGGAGTGCATCACACTCTGGTTTACATCGACTTTATAGTCCAATGAAATCCCCAGGTCTTTTCCTGAGCAGCTGCTATTGTGCCAACTATTTTTCATACTATGTTTTGTGAGTGATTTTTTTAACCAAAGTGCTGTATGATAAAATAATTCTGCTTAGGGACAGCTTTGACTTGGTTTGTGTGATTTATGGGTACAGACTATTTTGGTAAATAGGAATAAACAAAATGAAGATGATTCCCATGGTACTGAAAATCCAATTATCTCCTAGCTCCTCCACCAGACTATTAGCTAGATGAAGCCTAAGATTCAGTCCTGATCATCTGTTTGTTTTTTAGTCAAAAGAGTGCACTCAATATATGATGAACTGCCAACCTCTGTACAGTAATGATTGCTCCCTTTGTTCTTATCAACCATCTGCAAGATAATCCTGATAGATTTGTGAACACTGTATCAGTTTCTTCCTAACACAGTATTTCAAATGATGCAATGACAAGGCACACATCTGGTGTACAACCAATACTTCATTTTAATGCAATCTTGTAGCTGCCTAGAGGATGTAATACATGTCACCGATAATACATTTCCAAACTAATACAGCATGGCTTATTACAGGTGCTGAAGATAAATTTAGATGTACAGACACCAATGATGTTAACTACGTAAAATGCATTGGAGTTTTACATAGAGAAATTTAAAAATACATTTTATGCTATCATCTAATTAAAACACTCATCAGTAGTATTCTTGCCACACTACACAAGTAACTCAAGGAATGACAACTGGTTTTATGATCATTTATTCCAATACTTTGGTCACCTGATGCAAAGAGTTGACTCACTGGAAAAGACCCAGATGCTGGGAGGGACTGGGGGCAGGAGGGGAAGGGAACCACAGAGGATGAGATGGCTGGATGGCATCACTGACTCGATGGGCATGAGTTTGAATAAACTCCAGGAGTTAGTGATGGACAGGGAGGCCTGGCGTGCTGCGATTCATGGGGTCGCAGAGAGTTGGACACGACTGAGTGACTGAACTGAACTGATTATTAACAATGTAAAAGCATGATTTCCATTAAAATAGACACTTTGAAATGAAACGAGTGTGCTCTCCTGAGGTATGTTTATCATTCTTTCCTTCCCCATATACTTCAGGTCTCTCTCCTCCCCACCCTTCAAGGCATCCAGGACCAAAAAAGTGAAAAGAGCATTAAAGTTCTTCCTTCTAGGTAGGCCCAATAGTCTTCTACCCCATGATTACTCTAGATGTACAAAAACAGAGTAGCAAAGAGAAAAACTCTGTCTGTAAACCGTCAGAGGTTCAGACAACCTGCCTCTACTTACTTGGGTAAGTGCTTTAACCTGAATTACCCTTAGTTTCCTCATGCATAAATTGGTGATGACCCAATTTGCAGGAGACATATAAAAATTTACTGAGATTAAAGGGAACTCCCTGGTGGTCCAGTGGCTAGGACTCAGCACTTTCATTGCTGGGACCCAGGTTTGAATCCTGGTTGGGGAACTAAGATCCAAAAAGCCACATGACAGGACCAAAAAAAAAAAATTTTACTGAGATTATATGACAGTGTACCTAGTATAGTACTTAGTATGGAAAATACATCCTCAGTCCCCCATCCACAACCCCCCAAGTAAAACAAATAAACAATAAAAAACCTCATTGCTATCCACAGACTGGATAGGAAAAGAAAAAATACCAGATTGCTGAGACACTCTGGTAGGGCTGGGCTGAAGAGCGAGAGGGCAGTAATCACAAATGTGGCACATGTGGAGAAGGTCCGCAAGTGTATAAATGCTGCTCAGGATACCTGAGACTGGGTCAGCCTGGCAAGAGGCTCTGAATCAAAATCACATGAAAGGATCCAGGACAGGAAGGAAAACATCAAGATTTCTGTTTGGAGGATTTGCAATCAACTGTAAAAAAATCAGCAATGATAAATAAGATAGTATGTTGCATTATGGGGCTTCCTGGTGGCTCAGTGATAAAGAATGCACCTGCCAATATAAGAGATGCAGGAGACTTCTGGTCAATCCCTGGGTGTGAGGATCCCTTGGAGGTGGAAATGGCAACCCACTCCAGTATTCTTGTCTGGAGAATTCCATGGACAGAGGAGACTGGAAGGCTATAGTCCACAGACTCCCAAAGAGTCAGATACGACTGAGTGACTGAGCATGCACACATGCTTGTTGCATCATGCCTTTGAAACAGAACAGTGTGTGTGTGTGTGTTTTAACTTGGGGATCTTGATTAGCAAACAAAGAGAGAAAATGGAACTCCAAATTTCTATAAAGACTCACAAAATAGATCTGGAAGGCACGTGCAATTTCATTGTGACCTTGTAATTTTATCATGAAGAAAACAAAGTATCCAGAGAGACTGTGATTTAGTCAAGGTGACAATTACTACACAGGGACTTAAGGTTGGATCTTCTGGTCTCTGGTCAGTTAAAAGTCTGATTTGTATACACTTATTTGCCAGATATTGATACTACATTGACAGGAAAACTTCATATATAAACCATAAACACAAAGAAAAAAATCACCTGAAGTTACTCTGTCATTTGGAAAGAAATGTTTTGATTATTTTTTTGTTAAGCATCTAACATTTAGAAATGTGTAGATTATTAATTTTGCTTTGGCTAAGAGATTAAAATTAGTAACCATTTCACACATCCATGGGATTTCCCTGGTGGCTCAGGTGGTTAAGAATCTGCCTGCAATGCAGGAGACCTGGTTCAATCCCTGGGTCCGGAAGAACCCCTGGAGAAGGGAATGGTAACCCACTCTAGTATTCTGGCCTGGAGAATCCCAAGGACAGGAGAGCTTATCGGGCTACAGTCCATGGGGTTGCAAAGAGTCCGACACAATTGAGCAACTAACACTTTCACTTTTACCCACACATCCATATGGACCTGGGTTTGTAACTAGAGGTATATTCACGCCATTAAAATATTGAGTTATAAGGGATATTAGGTGAATCTTTCAATTAAAAGCTTGCCTTAAACAGAATGTCACTGTAAAAAAAAAAAACAACTCAGTAACAGAATATTCTATAATAAGGAATATTTCTTTATGAACAAATAAACCCTGATGACTTGATAGACGTTTCAGATGAATATATTATGAGAAAGGAATGTGATGAGAGTTAGATGTCTCATTCAGGAAACAGTAAATGAATGATATGAACAGAAAAGACACAGCCTGTTTGTTTGGGTCCCACGTCTGAGAATGGCTGAAGACCTTTGAGAGATGGCCTGCTGGCCAATATGGAACTGCTCTCCTTATATTTTCTCTTCCGCCCACTCTCTCCCCTTTATGTTTGAACAATTATTCCCTCTCCACACACTATCTACCCATTACCTCAAGCATGCTCAAATCTTTCCAGTCTAAAGAACTTCCTCTTCCTTATTCCTGCTTCCACCTCATGACGAGCCTCCTCTCTCCACTCAATCACATGGCAATTTAATCAAGGCATATGTATCCTGCCACCACGTCATCCTTCTCCCTTACTTCCAAGCTGAGTACACTATGCTTCTGGCCCATCATTCCAAACAAAGTGTTCTCCCAAGTCACAAGTAACCAGGATCTTAATTTCCACAGCTTATATTTAATTCTCATTCTGTAACTCTTCATTTGGCTATCCACCCCTTATGAAAACTCTCTTACCTGTAAAACTCTGTATTGCTTTTTTCCTCAACAAATTCTAATTGAACCCCCCAATTAAATATCCTAGAAAAATAACAGGTGAATCTGAAGTTGAATTATTGTAGCAGTGACCACTGCTACTTTGTTTCATGGAAAAGTCACTCTTTCAAATCTCTCATTAATCTCCTTCCCCACACGTAGAAATCATATCTAGTCTTTCAAGTCTTTATTAAAAAAAAACTACCATGAATTATAATATCTGACAAAGACCTGCATCTAGGACATATAAAGAATTTTTGTAATTCAATAACAAAAAGTCAAATAACCCAATTAAAATATGGACAAACGATCTGAATAGCATTTCTCCAAAGAAGTGGCCAAAAATTATATAACAAGAGTCTTAACATCAACATCATTAATCACTGAGGAAGTATAAATCAAAACCATGAGATGCTCTCCAAATCCACTAAGAGGCCTAGATTCAAAAGATAGATAGTAACAAGTGTTGACAAGGATATAGAGAAATTGGAACATCCATACATCCACGCTGCTGCTGCTGCTAAGTCGCTTCAGTCATGTCCGACTCTGTGCAACCCCATAGACGGCAGGCAGCCCACCAGGCTCCCCTGTCCCTGGGATTCTCCAGGCAAGAACACTGGAGTGGGTTGCCATTTCCTTCTCCAATGCATGAAAGTGAAAAGTGAAAGTGAAGTCACTCAGTCGTGTCCAACTCTTAGTAACCCCATGGACTGCAGCCCACCAGGCTCCTCCGTCCATGGGATTTACCAGGCAAGAGTACTGGAGTGGGGTGCCATAGACTTCTCTGATACATCCCTGATGGGGATGTAAAATGATGCAACTATTTGAAAAATAGTCTATCAGGTCCTCAAGAAATCAAATACAGAGTTACCATACGACCTAGCAATTCTAGTCCTAATGATGTATTCATGATAAATAAAAGTAATATTCATACAAAAATTTGTATATCTATACAAAAACCTGAGTGTTCATAGCAGCATTATTTATTCTAAAATGTGGAAATAACTCCATCAACAGGTGGATGGATAAATAAAATGCAACTTAATATATGTAAAATATTATCTATTCTTAGATACAGTATGTATGTATATTAATGAACCACTATTTGCAATGACTTAGAATGATGAAAAGGACTGCATTACTGATAGATACTATAACACAGATAAACTTTAAAATCAGTATGCTAAGTAAGAGCAGCAAGTGATAAAAGAACATACATGATGCCATTTATATGATAAAAACATTGCAGTAATTATGGTGATGGCTGCACAACTCTGAATATACTAAAAGTTATTGAACTGTATATTTTAAATGAGTAAATTATATGACATATGAATTCTATTTCAATAAATCTGTTATATATTTTTTAAATACCATGAAAACCATAATGGTCAGGAATGGCCTCCAGCAACACATATTCCCCTTTGAATAGTTTAAACATAAAGGAATCAGAATTACTGTTTTAATTTGTATACCAAAAACTTGGTCTTAAATTTATATCAACTGGATGCCACAGCTGATAGGAAAAGAAGCACATCTTAGTTGCTGACAGAATTCTCCTCCTGTCAAAAAACAGCTTTGCAAAAAACAGCTGAAACTGTTAGTTAAATATTAACAGAAAGATCTTCTGCATATCAATTATGCCCAGAGTCATTATTTTTGGCAGTCACATTATAAATCTAGACTCCTGAGAGACAATTTATACCATCTGTTCTTAAACTTGAGCATGTACCAGAATCACCTGCAGGGCTCAATAAACTACAGACTGCTGGATCCCAGCCCCAGAATTTGTGATTATCACTAGGGTTGCAGGGGGGAGCCCCTAACAAGTCCCCAGGAGTTGCTAATTCTGCTAGCCCAGGGACCACACTTTAAGAACCACTCCCTATTCTATACTAATCTATTTCGTTTACTTGTGGTCTTACTTAGGGCTAATTTATCTCAAAGACAGTTATCGAAAATCAAACCTGTTACGCAAGCCATATGGTAGATGAGAACTCCCATAACAGGAGAAAAGCTATTGACATAAGATAGTAGTGTTCTCAATGGGCCGCCACGTGAGCTTGAAATACATGATGAGATTTAAACAGTGGGAGCAGGTACAGAATCAGAAAGTCACAGAGAAAGTCAGGCCTCAGTAAACTAGATGAATGCAAAAGAACTAGAAGAAAGATTCTGCTCCTTGGGGCAGTGAGATGACAGTCACTAGGACATCAGTGCATCTTAACTGGCCTTCTGGTTCCTGAACCACATTCTCAGTTTTGTGAGGCCTAATGGCCCTGCTGTATCAGTGTTCCCCTGATACTTTTTCGTGTCACTATTTCTGCAGTATAGCAAGCTGTGTGGCTGAGATACCTGTCCTCATTAATCTAGAGTCATTCCTACAATACCCTGCCCCTATGAAGGGCAGACTTCAGTGGGCAGCTTTCCTCTGAAGTCCAGAGAACATATTTCCAAAAAGACCCAAGGATACAGGTTGATCTAAGGGCCAGCTCTAACAAGATGGTGCTTAATATAGAGACATGCTCATTATGGACTCAGAGCTCATATTTGACAACCACCTGATAAAAACCAACAAAGATGAAACAGGGCAAAATAAAAATGAGCTCTAATAATTGCGCTTATAGGAACATACTCCCCCAAAAAGAAGATAGCAGTCCCACATTGCATGAAGCCAAGCCAAACCTGGTTTCGGTGTCCATTTATTAGCAATAATTTCAACAGAAGCAACAGACAAGCTAAGGCATCACCAGGGTAGAGCAGAAGGAACTGGAAATTATGTAACTGAGTAAGAGTTAATAGTTCGTTTGTGAAACTTCA